TGGTCAGTAAACACACACACACACACACACACACACACAGCAGGGTTCACACAAGGAGCTTAATGTGCCTGAATTTGCCTTTAGGAAGTTCGGGTCCTGGTGTAGCTGTAAAACGGGCTTATTTAGTTGAAGAGTGCTGAAGTGAATGAGGAGTGTGTGTGTGTGTGTGTTTGTGTGTGTGTGTGTGTGTGTGTGTGTGTGTGTGTGTGTGTGTGTGTGTGTGTGTGTGTGTCTTCATCAAGGTCATCAGTCTGGAACAGTGCTGTGAGGAATGCAGAGTCGGCACATGTCAAGTCTTTTGCTTTATTATTTTATGACTGTAAAACTGTCTCAGTTTGAGTTGATGTGGGAGATCAGATGTCGTGTGCTGTAGAGCTGTTTAACACACATCAGCCAGAATAGTGCAGGATATGTCAGTAAGGGCTACATGTACATCTGTAAAGTGGACAGGAGTGTGTCTCTGGTCTGCTAGAGGATGTGCTGCTGCTGTTGTCATGAAAGGAGGAATCCACCATGCTCACTGCAGATTCCTGTATGTGTTTACATGTTGACACTCGAGAAATCTCGCTCTCTGAGTCGTTTCAAAACAGTTCTTTTACCCAATATTACTGTTATTCACTAACATTAGCATTATTTTAGCCGTGCAGCAGTATATTTACTTCAGTACAACAAAACACACGGCTTACTATAATCATCATATTATCAATGATATAATGCAGGATTAATTATTATTATTATTATTATTATTAAAGATGCTGAGAATACATACCTGACACATGCCCATGGCTGATCCGCAGTGACTGACTCTCTCTCTGTGTGTGTGTGTGTGTGTGTGTGTAGTTGCGGTGTGTGTGCTGGCTCTCGCCGCGGTGCTGATCTGGAGACAGTGGCGGCTGAAGAACACAAACACAATCCACTTCACCAACCCGGTGTACCAGAAGACCAGCGACGACACCGTGGCCATCTTCAGGAGCCCCAGCCAGGACGGATACACACATCCATCGGTACACACACACACAAACACACACACACTCTCATTTGGTCCACATAATGTCACGAATACTAGGGCTACCGACACACACACACGTTTGTTTTTGTGAAAAGTGGGGACATTACATAAGTTTCCATTCATTTTATACTGTCCAAACCGTATATTATATTGCCCTCACCCCACCCCTAAACCCAACCATCACAGCAGACAGTGTGCAGCTTTACTCTGATTAAACTCATCCTGTAGGATTTATAAGCATTTTGAGAAATGAGGACGTCACCAATGTCCTCATATTTCACCTGCTTTTAGTAATACCTGTATCACACACATGTCATTATACAGATCTGTGTCCTGACATATCACAAAAACACACACACACACACACACACACACAGCTTTCAGCCTGTTTGAGCCTGTAGATGTGTGTTAAACTTAAACTGTGTGTGTGCGTGTGTGTGTGTGTGTGTGTGTGTGTGTGTGTTTCAGTGTCAGATGGTCAGTGTGGATGAAGACGTCTGATCCTGAAGCTTCTCGTCACTTTAAAGCTGAAACTGATGGAAGAATGAAGGAAACTGATGATGAGCGAAACAGCGGAGCGCTCGCATGCCTGACACACACACACACACACACACACACACACACAGATCTGTTTGCACATTCAGACATGCGGCTGTTCTCAGTTGTAATCCGCTATATGAAGGTATTACTGATGTTTATTGTGTTTTTAGTGCGTGTGTGTGTGTGTGTGTGTGTGTGTGCGCAGACCGAGTCTCCTCTTGCACTACTGATGTTCACTCGTCTGCTTTTATTTATTTCTGACTCACTTGAATGTTCGGTGTGTCTGTGTGTTACTGAAGTGCTCTCTGATCCCTGTTGTAGGGGTGTGTGTGTGTGTGTGTGTGTGTGTGTGTGTGTGTGTCTGTGTGTGTGTGTGTGTGTGTCACTTCTGCGCCTTAAATCCAGAGAACGTGCCTGAACAGCAGCATGTGTCATAGTGCACAGAATATCCCATGATGCCTTGGGTCCTCTGACTTGTGTGTGTGTGTGTGTGTGAGTGTGTGTGTGTGTGTGTGTGTGTGTGTGTCTCCACTGTTCTCCAGTGCTCCTCCCGCAGCCGCAGGACTGTAAATATTCTCTTTTATTTCGGTTTATATGAAGAATTGGCCTTTATTTATTGTGTGAGTGTGTCTGCTGCGATTCTGTCGCATATATATTTGTGTGTGTGTGTGTGTGTGTGTGTGTGCGTGCGTGCGTGCGTGCGCCGTCCTGCACTGCACAGATGAGAGGAGCTTCAGGGATTTTTATATATGTGTGAAGGATAAAACAGCAGCTGCGGGATCTGATCTGATCTGCACACCCCTGTGCTGGAGCTGCAGCGGGTTCTGCTGATATCTGTTTTATTTAATGTGCGTGTGTTAATAAAAAGTGTGTGTGTGTGTGTGCGTGTGTGTGTGTGCGTGTGTGTGGCAGCTGTAAAGAAACACACCCAAAGAAATCACTGCACTGTTTTTGACTATTAAAGGAAGCTCTGTCCTGTCGTCTGTGTTTGTCTGTTGTTTCTGCCGCTGCAGGAGCTCTTCAGAGGGAGACTGACACGGCTCAGACTCAAACACTGAGCTGGAAATGTGTGTGTGTGTGTGTGTGTGTGTGTGTGTGCGTGTGTGTGTGCGTGTATAGTGGATGTATCCTGTATGGTCACCCACAGCGCTTCACCATCATGACTCCTCCACCAGCAGTGTGCAGCTCCGCCTGATGATGCTCCGGCAGACACCAGCGCCAGCGCTTCACCACACACCAGCTATAGGGGGAGTGGAGAGACGGTGATGGAGTCAGTCAGTGGATGGGGATGATTGGGAGGCCATGATGGAGGGAGCGTGTCCAGGACACCGGGGTTACACCCCTACTCTTTACCTGAAGCGCCCTGGGGTTATTAATGAGCACAGAGAGTCAGGAGCTGGCTTTACCTGACAGTACAGTGTCCCCTTCACTACACCGGGGCATTAGGACTCACACAGAGCTCCCAGTGTTCCCATGTGCTCTCCATCCAGACACTGACCCGGCTCAGCTGCAGTGAGGGATTTTCTGGGCTGCAGGGTGGTGTGTCTGGAATGACGTGTTTATAATCATTTCGGGCCTCACCAGTGTTTCTTCAAGGCCTGACGGAGTTCTTGAAACACTGCAGTGCTGCTCTGGTGTGTTGATGAAGATCTGCTGATGATCTGTTGCTCTGCGGTACTTTATAAACTAAAGCATTACACATGATCATGCAGCGCTTCATTTCTGACGTCAGATGTAGATGGTGTGTGTCCAGGTGAGCTCAGACAAACCTGTATCGAACACACACACACACACACACACACACACACACACACCTGTAGTGCGCTTCAGCAGGGTTATTTAGACGCTGCAGCAGTTCTCTGAGGCTGTGCTGGATGTGTGTGTGTGTGTGTGCGTGTGTGTGTGTGAGCAGAGATGAGTGAGTGTGTCCAGCAGAACTCTGGGAAACATCATGTTGGGTTCTGCTCTCCTGATAATCCTGCGGTAACGGCTCGACTCCTCAATAAACTCCTGCAGGGCTTTCCCGGGAGTGTAGAGACGCTACTGAGATACTCTGCTGGATCATCATCATCATCATCATCGCAGCTGTTGTGCAGTGTGAGGCAGGCTAATACGTGTTTTAAACGGGTAAGAAGCTCGAGCTCTTCTCAGCCACACTGGAGGAGCACCAGCACTGCATGGTTTGGATGTCTCCTCTGCTGATGATCTGGATCAGGTGTGCTGGGTGAAGAGACACGGGAAATGTGCAGAGCTGGTGCTCCTTTAGGCACGTGGTTGAGAAACACTGCTCTAGATAACACTGCTGGTTCAGTTTATGATCAGCTGTGTGTGTGTGTGTGTGTGTGTGTGTGTGTGTGGAACTTCAGGTGTTTTCCAGCCACACCTCAGCTCTACAGGTGAGTGATGATGCCGTCCAATCAGCAGCTCAGAATATTAGCATACTCTAATTCTTACGATCTCATTGGTTCGTGTCATGGTGAGGGGCGGGGTTTACACCTCACGCCACTGCGGTGATGCGACACGAGGGCGTGTCCTCTGCGTTGTCATGACGATGATAAACTGGCACGTGACTCCAGGCAAATGTTGTTTGATGAAGACCACAATCTCTTTACGTGTGTTATACAGTCTATGATGATGATGAAGATGATGATGAAGATCTGCAAGAGTTTAATGCAGGGGTTTTCCTGTCTGATGAGGATTAAATGTGTGTGCGCTGTGCAGATCTGCTCTGGATCTCTGCGCCTGTGTTGATGTTGCTGTTGGACAGAGCAGTGGCTGGAGATCAGATCTGAACTGAACTGAACAGCACTGTGATGTACTCAATACACATACATGCTATTAAACAGAAAGCACATCGCTGAACACCTCTGATGACACACACACACACACACACACACACACACACACACACACACACACACACGTCTCTTTACTCGAGGTTGCCTAAAAGCAAAAGCGCTCCTCAAGGTGGATGTGGACAGGTAAATGTGGATAATAAAGACAGGGTTTTAGGGGTCAGAGATGATCATAGCTGCTCAGTAAATGACGATAACAGCATTATATATGTGATATATCCGCCACAGTAATAGAGTTACTCATTAGACTAATCATGAGCTCATCTGTAGATATTGAAGGATAAATAGAGCAGGTGATGTGCCTTATTCACTACAGCACATCAAACAACAGCTGTTAAAGCCAGCAGACTATAATGGGGTCGTCTAGTGTTCCCTGATGGAGAGAAGAGCATCTGACCAGCAAACAGCATCGGGACAGATCTGAATGGGTTCTGCAGGATTCTGTGCTACTGACCGCAGATCTCTCAGTGTGTGTGAGTGTGTGATGTTGCCCTCTGCCGGGCCGCTCCTCCTCAGTCACGTGACCTCCAGCAATGTTTTACCTGGCGCTGTGTGACGTCACCGCGCACCGTGCAGGAACAGGAACCGCGAAGGCCGTGAAGAGCTCGTAACTCTCCGCTAAACACCGGAATGTGACTTTAACTCTGCTTTAGCCCGCTATAACCTCATTTCCCGCGGATCCTCGTGTTTATAAGCGTACAGTATGTCTGCGTCCGCGGTGTTCGTGCTGGACCTGAAGGGGAAGGTAAAGATCATCTGTCAGACACACACACACACACACACACACACACACACACACACACACACACACACACACACACACACACATCAGAGGGCTGAAGGGGAGACCGCTGATCACTATATAAACTATATAACTCGGGTCGGTCTATAATGTGAATGATCATGTTGAAGACCTGTTCTGAATATCGTCTCACACTTTATCAGCTGACGTCACTTCCTGTACATAGAGGAAGTAGCTTTATTACTAATGACCCAATTATAAGAGTCTGACCTGAGCTCTGAAGGTCGCATCAAAGTAAAATAAAGTTTTCAGAGGTCAGTATCAGCATTATATCTGTAAGCGCTGCGCTCTGACACACTGTGTGTTTAAGATGCAGAGCTGAGATCAGCATGTGAAGCTGCAGTTTTCACTTAATAAATCCTCAATGATCCTCAATGGGTCAGCGCAGCGGGTTTATTCATGTTTACCCTTAATTCAGTTCCTTTTCACATCATAACCAATCAAATGCTCTGTAGTGTCTGACATGCCCCGCCCCCTTCTTCTCATTGGCTGTTCATTTGATGAGCTTGAGCTCAACCACTCTCACTGGCAGAGCTGAGAGGAAACTAAACACTATTGGCTGATTTTAAAAGGGGAGGAGCTACTCCATGCCTCTCCTCCTCTGTGGTTAAGATTATGACGTCCAATAAGATGGCAGATTTCAGAGCGCTGGAGTGAATCTCTGGTGTTTACACTGCTCTTCTGTTTCCTCCAGGTGTTGATCTGCCGAAACTATAAAGGCGACGTTGACATGTCCGAGATCGATCACTTCTTCACCCTGCTGATGCAACAGGAAGAGGACGGGCTTATTTCACCTGTCATGTCACACGGCAACGTCCACTTCCTGTGGATCAAACACAACAATCTCTACCGTATCCTTTACGTTATGAACTGTAGAGTCAGGAGGGGGACGCTGGTTAATCTGAGCATGCAGAAGCTAACGATAGTCAACAATGATCAGAGCAGTGGTGCTCAGCCATCGGGCTGTGGACCGGTACCAGTTCGTGGATCAATTGGTACCAGGCCGCACAGGAAATCATTAATTATTTCTGTTTTATTCATTATCTGAGTGTGAATGATCTTTTATTTTGAGAAATGACCATATCCTCTCAGTTACAAGAGCACCAAAGCATGAGGAACAGACGGCTGTGGAAGGTGTCTTTGCTCAGGGGGAAAGGCCCAGGGAAGGACCCGCGAACTGCCGAGGTTTATGAATTACAAATACACTGGAAGATATTTAGGCCTAATCCCAATTCTCCCCTTAGCATGTATGTTTTGTGCGTTCCCGTGAAGGTGTAGGGGTGTCCCAGTTCTCTGAAGGGGAAGGGCTATACACCCCTTCAAACAGAGATTTTTCAGGACCACACTCAAAACCAAGAGGTTAGAACATTTCCCAGAATACACCAGCCACATGACTCCACCCGGAAGTCAGGAGATCCACAAATGAGTATTTTTTGTCAATATTATGAATTTTTACGACAAACAAGCACATGTTTAATATATTCATAACCGCGCTCCTGTTTCACCGTCAAGCTTAAACACAACCGCTAAATCCATAAACATAACTCGTCTACAGCAGTCCCAGAACATTCTGACACTCGATGACGCTCCCATCCTCTGTCAGCAGGGCCGGCGTGTCCATAGAGGTGACCTAGGCGACCGCCTAGGGCGGCAGAATAGAGAGGAGGCGTTCACGACACCTCCCTCAACACCCGCGTCCTCAGTTATGTCCGTGACACTTCCCTCACAGGAGATGGCGAGGACACATGCTGACGTGTGCAGGTGCTGTAGTGCTGACCCAATTCTTAGGGGTACATTTTGAAGCCCTTCCCCTTCACACTCGGTTTTAAGGGCCATGGGGAAGGGGAAGGGGTACCAACATAGAATTGGGATTGCGCCTTTAATCCCATCTCCCTTATATTATAACAATTATTCTATAGGGGTTCTCACCTTTTATTGGGACACAAGCCTAAAACAGGACAGTATTGGGAGCAGAGAGAGGGGATGGGTCTGCAAAGGATCTCGAGCTGGGAATCAGACTCAGGCCTCCGTGAGCACCAGAGTGCTATATGTCGGCGCACTACCCTCGAGGCTATAGGCGCAGACGACGTCACGTCTCCTGTGTTATATAGGCTGTTTACACATGATGTCTTTGATGACGCGCGAGACTCAGATGGAGGGCAGGAAGTGATTCTTCTACATGGGACTCGCTATCAGACCATCGGTGGAATAAACAACCGTATCGTGAAGGTCTGTATGTGCAGCAGCGGTGAGTGTGTGTTGATGATAACCGTTCATCGACCAAACAATAACCG